TAAATGTATAGACCATGTAGATAGATAGGCTTATAGACGTGGACTATATATATTTCTTCAATCTCAATATTCTTACTCTGAACTCCGGATACTCATTTATCGATCACAGTTGGGCTTCGCGAGTGAAGTCCGCGGATCGGGTTCGATGAATAATCATAATTCGAAGGATGAAAATGAGCAATCAGAGGGTTCATTGCTTTCCTCCCGGAACGATAATTTTACAATCATCCTACTTCGTGGATCGTTGCGCGATTGGCGGAGAAATCGCTCCGGAACTCTATGTAGCCGGCTTTGTTTGCTGCCTGTCGATGTAATGACATTGATCTCGAATGTCGAGGGTCGTGTCTCCTTGTTGCACCTTCAGAGATTACCGACACTGGAGAATCAACTCGAAGACTCGTCAGCGAAAAGAGCTGCCCGGGTGCCGTGTAGGAGCTAGTCCTCGGAAGAGGGTCCATCTCTCGCTGAGAGGCTTATTGCGTGGGGATGAAGGGACGAACGATTGTTTGATCGCGAAATGAACGGAGTTTACCTTCGTCGAGGTTTCTACAAGTTCCGATCTATCTTGTGATCACGGGGAGCTGAGCCTTGCGCGGATTCGCGGAAAATCTAGATTAGACTCGGACTTGGAAACCGAACGTTTTCTTTCTCAAAGACTCCCATGCGAAACGTTGCAATCCCCGGAGGTGCGTTATACGCGGAACTTCTTGTTATCATCGAATTCTCAGTCCAAAGTCTAATTATGAGCCATCGGGACGGACAGCACAATCTGCGAGATAAAATTTCGCGGAAGCTCGTCGACCCTTCGCTCATGGGTCGGATTGGAAGATCGGGGGACCTGGGGCATGGACGATGAACTCTTGATTCAACAAACACCTTCGGCTCGATGAAGTGCCCCCTTGTAGCGTCCGTGGGAGTCTAGGGAACTCCGAACGAACCCTGTGGCTGACGCCGGCCCTCTCCGCGTCTCGACTTCTAGTACATACTCTAATCATTTGCACCGGATGTCTCTTCTCCAGCGATTCGAGGGAATGCACATCCTCCTGATAATACGGTGCATACCTAGTGAACCTGATATCTGCATTACACGGATCAATTCCTGGTCGCTCTTTCGGCGCCGGGATGAATTCCTTAGGCAGGCCATGACCGTCCTAATGCGGCATCCGATGATCGCGCCCAGGTCTCTCGAGACTTCTGAGCGTCCAGAAGAGAAGGAATCACCATCTTCGGATGTAATGTTTGGAACGAATCGTCGGATTGAGTCGGTAGAAGTCGACTCTCGTCAGTGAGAACGTTACCGTGACTCAGTGTAGGCTATCCGACTCAGAGAAAAAATGCCGTTCTGGGTTCGCAGGTCCGAATCGACGCATAAGGAAAGTGCGAGTGACCGATCGTAACTCGGAGTGCTCCAAGAAGCTTCCCCCCCCGGTCGAGTCCACAAGGCACCCCACTTCCCATCGAATTTCAAGTCGACAATATCATCGGTGATGTGAGGTTCTCGGGGCACTATGCCCAGACATTGAACCTATGATCGAGAAAATCCACCTATGAATTTCGGGGGTATTTTCCTCTTAAGAGGGGGGAAATCGAGATCAGAGACCATTTTCGCGTAAGCATATGTACATGCAATTTATTGTGATTTAAATAGGGAATTCGAACTAGATGAACCAATAAATAAGTCTCGGGCTCTTCAGGAATGAAGGCGGAAACCGCAACTCCATCGTTGAGAGCGAACACAGTGGGAACAACCGGTCGGGCGTGATCACAGACTTTCTCTCCTCCTTAGGGAGGGTGCTCCTGGAGCGATGACGACTCGCAGAGAGTGAGGTACAGCATTTTCCTCATCCAATCGGGCTCTTGTCCTCCCTCTTCTGTCCGTCTGCGATGTTGTAGTACGGCACGTCCATTCTGAGGAATTTCTGGCACCAATTCCTGACGCTCTTCTTCTTGTTGTTGCTGCCGTTTGCGGTGGCTTCAGACTCCTTGTTGCAGCAGAGACCAAATACATTCACGGCTTTGGTGAACTTGGCGCATCTCTGGCAGAGCTCCGTAACTTCACCACCGGGCAAACACTCGCCCATCACTGGTACCGCCTCCGAATCCTTGAAGGAAGCGAGGAATATGCAGGTAAGAGCCAAGCAAGTAACAGAACAGGTGAGACTACTCATGGCGTCGATTGAGTACTTCTTCTTCTTCCGTTAGTTGAGAATCGCGCAGCTTGGAGCTGTCTCGACCAACGAGTCCATCCCCCTTTATACCCGGCATTTTCCAACAAGGAGATGGGAGCACGCGACAGTGTCGAGAGCCTACTTCTCTCCACAAAGGAGAGATTCATTTTAGGCGGCGCCTGAGAATGTATGCCTGAACGGTTTGAAGGACCCGACTGACGTCAGAGAATGTAGCACGATGGACTTTGGATGGTGGGACAAGGTTCGTGGGAAAACGAAAGCGCCTCGACAATCAGCACGACAAATCATGTCTGGAGATTGACGCATGCAAGGCTCTCTCTCGGATACCGAGTGTATACTCGGACCGTATCGATGCATTTTTCGGTCAGGAATAAGTCCTCAGACGGAGCGAACCAGGAGATTCATCGCCAGGCACTTCTCCGAGAAAGAAAAATGATTCGATTTCGAAAGGGTTTACGATGAGATCTGTTGATCGCGCGGGTCCAATCGGCAGTTGGAGACTCGCACTTCAAAAAGACGTCATCTTGAAGGATCTGTCCGATCCTGCAGAGGCCTATCTGACTTACATGAAGAGTTTGAAAAACTCGAGCGCATGAAGCTTTGTGTCTTTCAATCGTCGAATTACCTCGCTTTTGCTAAAGACCATGCTTGATGTTCAAGATAGGCTCTACGTCGGAGCTCACGCCAGAGTTCCCATTAGGTTTTCTGTCGCATGTTCGCATTTCTCAGCCGGTCCTTGTAACCGGGGCCAGACCTCTCCTGGAATCAAGGTGCTCACGGGGAGGCGAGCGAATCTTTTCCGCGGACTCGAATCTCTTCGTGTAACTCGTCTTTCGATGGATTTCTCCAATAGTTTTTCCATTCTCGGAACATGGACCAGTGTTGCGACGAGCCCCGAAGCAGCTCACGTATGGGGAGTGAACCGGTTTTTATACCACCTAAGGGGGGGGGACCTGATTTCGAAAGGGCCAGCCCATAGAAGTCTGCGGAGCCACCCCCTATGACCAGTCATGAACCTCGATGTTATGACCTCAGGCGCCCTAGGTTCTACGTTCCTTCTCGAGACAGCGCTCGAGTCATTTATGTATCAATCACTATATCAGAACGATTAAATGAGGCGGAAGCGATCGGGCTTGATATCGGTGTACGCATGACTCAATCCGAGCCCTATGGATCCTTGCAACTCCGAAGCCAGCTCCAAGAGCTACCGTCATCCCCGATCCCAATCCAGGAGCCAGGTAGCCTCGTATTTGGAGCGAGATGCTGCGGATTAAGTTTGCGGGGTTCACGACAAGCTTCGCATTGACGTCCATATGCGAGTATGGGTTCATGTCATTCCAGTGGCGACCTTCACCAACAGTGGCTCCCGTCGTCCGCGAGGGTGAAGATTGTCGAAGGAAATTCCTTCGGCGTCGGCCGCCCAATCTTGAGTGACCCCTGCGCCACTGGGCTCTTACGATGGGGCCCGCGAGAGGCAAGAGCTATGCATCTGAATCGTCAGCACTGGTCCACTGATTTCTCGACTAGTAGATTACTGGGGAGTGAATCAGTGGCATTGAATAAGACGGCTGGCTGCGTCTCTGGAGGTCAGAGTCGTGACGCAGATAAGAGCCTGAGAGACACTGGATCGTGCTGCCGCAAAGATTTTGCAGAGATGAAAAATATCTCTGCCTTGAACGGTGAGAATTGTGATTGAGAACGATGATTCTATGAGATTGGCGGAAGTATGGATTGCTCAACCAAAAGCTCCCTAATTCGATGCGGGCCATATGAAAATGGATTAATCGATCATATCTGCAGCTCAGGTTCTCGCCTACGGATGCTTAGGTCCATTCCGCGGTCAGTATGATTCCGCGATTCACGTCATCCGTCCACGACCGAGTGGGGCAAGATCGTTTCGCTCAGTGTCCGCCGCACTCTGACCTCAAGAACATTACGCATTCGTGGAGTTCGTGAGATGACCCATCGTCAGTCTCACGGAGCATAAGGTCGGGAGATCCCGCTCCTCTGACGCCTTCAAGCGCAGAGAGGTCTTTCCTTCGACGGTGTCTGTGATCTATGTCTCTCGAACATCCTCAATTTTCGTGACGAAATGCAACGGATCAGGGCATGGTGGAGGCGACTCGTGAAATCAGGTTTGTGCATCCGGTTATCATCGTGTTTCCAATGACGCGCTCTTATCGACTTCGGGGCAAACGAGCCGAGCGAGGGTCCAGCAAGTGCCCCCGCTCATACAGTGCCTTAGCCCAGGAATAACGGGATTATGGGGCGAGTCCAATCTACGATGCTCGAGTGAAGCCGAGCGTGGGACGAACATCGCCATTCTACCCCCTTATCACCGTGACGATGCTCAAGATCCCGAATAGATTTCCCCCAGATCCACTCCCGCCTCAGCAGAATCCTTGGAATGGCTTTAGCTCATGATGCTAGTCGAGCACATACGAGGAATATACCACTTGGAGAGGGAATTCCTCACCTACGGAAAGGTGTGGTGCATTTGAAGGATCGATTGTTCTCCGGGGATACACGACGTCGACTTACTGAGCCCACGGATAGAATCTCTGATCTCACGCATCGTAGAAGATATATGGGGTTGATTCCTCCCTCACGAGAAACCTCCGATACGGAGGCGAAATCGATTGCAGATCCCAGCGATCCGAGCATCAGAACTCAAGAGAAATGAATCGAGTCGGAGCTTTCCGCCATTTACCCGGAGAAATATTCGTGGGTGATTGGCAGCGATCCATCATTGACGAGACTTTTTCCACACCGCCAAGGCATCGGGATCGAGGATCGATGGGTATCGCTGCTCTAAATTTCTAAACTGAATCGATTGTGACGGAAAACTCCTCTCAAAAAGAAATTTCCTTATTTACGAACTTTCCGAGCGCTCCAAAGCGTCGGACAGCGAGCGCAGCGCCCTCTGGCCATGAGTACTGGCGAGTCGCAAACGAAGAAAGTTGCCCGGTTCGTTGAATTTGCTTTTGTACCCGATCGAATCATCTCCCTATCGAACAGCTAGATTCCCTCGGGCGGTCGATTATCTACCAAGTGCAGAATGGAGACCCTGACGGACGTGAGCGGTAAGTTGACATCCGACGACACTCCCCATTAATTCGAATAGCGGTTCAGTGGTGCAGGGACCACTGCGTCTTTCACTCGCCGAAATTCACTAGGCGGGGAGGGGAATCCTCCGATGCTCATCGCAGGGCCCTGATCATTGTGTTCGTGACTCCCGGAGAGATGTCACGCAGAAACCGCTGTTGGCCGTTTAGCAGAAAACGTAAAGGTGGGCCAATGATCGAGAGTCTGAAAAATGTCTGTGGAGTCTAACTCCAGCGTTTTCGATATCGAGATGGGGCTCATGTTCACATTCGAAATGGATTAGTTCCGGACTAATCAGTGGCCGGTGTGAACTTCGACGTGAATTGCCATCGGCGGATACTCGTGGTGAAGTGAAGAATATTTCGGTTTGAATGAGTCGGATGCGTCGAAAGGTTTGAATAGCTTCGATGAATTCGTCGAGGAGCATCGGACCCATTTGAGTGAAGGTTATCAGGCACCCATAGCATAGTCGACGTCCGCTTTCATCGTGGGCCCATCATCGGATTAACAGCTTTCTGCATCCCTCGATCCGTTTCGCGAATTATCTGCGAGCGGATCGAGTTCGGACCTTCTTTCGATAGCCTGCAGATGCGCTCAGCGACGTACTTGTAGTTGACGGAAGAGCTTGGGATGCTCTGCAGCGTTTCGTTCAGAACGTCTACGCACTCTCCGAGACTGCAATAAACCGAATTCACGAGGTACCTCGAGAGGCATCCCTGAAGTAATCATCGCGCCAATTTCGAGACATGTCGTCGTCCCATGGAGCTATGATGAGCAGCCTCATTCAAGAGGTCTCGCTGTGATCCTTTCGTTCCGATGACGTGATATGATTCCGTCATATCGTGAATTCTGACATGACCGGCGGCGTGGGATCCGTCCAGCCGTGTGTTGCGAATCCCGCTGTCTCGCTCTGGTTTATGTCTTTGCCGCGGTCAATGACTCTTCGAATGCGAAAATAAATCCCATCAGGAAACACGTCGAGTTTTGTCGCATCGCGCTGGGGCAAAAGAGGCTCTTCTTCTGGAGCGGAGTCAACGAACGCTTTCGAGCAATATTTTCGGTGAGAGTCGACTTACTTAGGCTCAGCCACCAGCCTGCTACCCGTCGCGCGACAGTCCTGATCTCCGCTGCGAATTCTTATTCTTCGTACTGGTCCTGGAATCTTCGAGAACTTCGCTGGATATTTAGGAGGACCATGAGATCTCCGATCACTGAATGCAAACTCCATGTCTTCATGCGGCACAATCCGCGATGATGGTCATCCAATATCAACAACAACAACGACAATGAAATCCTTTGACTGTTAATGAGCGATTAGGGAGATTACTTTCCTCACTATGCAAGTCAATGCTCGAAAGTAATCGGGGGATTTGACGGAACCGATTTCAGCGAGCGGAAAAAATCTTCTACCAGAGAGAAAACCGAACTTCGACTCTGAAGCTTCTTCTCTTGACTCGCCAGATGTTCTTGGCGTTGAGTCAGCCGGTGCTATGTGCGCATCAAGAGCGAAACCGGGAGCACTTTCGCTGTTACTTGGAACAGTTCGAGAGGGCCTGCGTCGAAACGGTTCCGAAGAAAGAGCCACAGCCGTGAACGATAGAATGCATTGTCTAGGCTGCGAGAGGCTTAAGGAAGTTCTACTCCAGGGCCTCGATATAGAAGCTGAGCCCGGATCGGATAAATCAGCTGGAATAACTCCCACTTAAAGGCTTTTCTGTGACGCAGGAGTCAGCTGTGAGCGGTGAAAGCTGTTCACGTAACTGCGAAACTCCCCCACAGCGTAGTTACGACTGACCTTCGAAACAATGGCGGTTGGCGGAACCGAATGTTCCGAGTGAACTTCCTAGAGCATTTATTAGCAGTGTGAAAGCTGGTTGTCGGAATTTTTCCCCGACGGAAGACTACTGCGAATAGCATAATTGCGATCGCGTTCAGATGGTCCCGTATCCGTCGTTCATGCGAGCGTCCATGCAGTCCATGTTCAAGCGTTCGGAGGCGGCAGAGAAAGCCTCGGACTGAGAGACTCAAACCGGGACAGCGGTCTCGAATCGCGGTCCGGACCATTGGTGTCCCCGCATTGAGCGGGCGCACATCGCAAACCGGTCAGATTCGACTTTCAGCGTTGATGAGTTCTGGATGCCCGCGGTCGAGTCGATTCGAATTGAATGCTCATGTTCAGAGAAAGAAACTCTTCTTTATTTCTCGCCGTCTTTCGTGATCATGAATGACATTAGGGTCGGGGAGGAACTTACAATACGGGAATGGTCAGAAGACTACGATCGGATACCCCTCCTCGGAACTTCGAACGGAATATACACTTTCGATCCCAATCGATGATACACGAGCCTACACCAAAGAGGAATCATCGCATCTCTGCGCTCGGTTCCTGATTGTGTCGGCGGCTTACTTGAGCGTCGCGATCAAGCAAAAGTCACGGTCGCGATGGCTTGACGGATTCGAATCGGAAACTCGGTATGCTCATTGAGAGGCGTGACCTTTCACCCACTCGGCATAACTCAACAATCCGTCTCCATTGCTGTCATACTTCATTGTGGTGTCAACGAGCTCCTCGAGAGTCTCCACAGGAACTTCTCCCGCCGCCTCGTGAGCTCCGTCTTGTCCGTGAGCGTGGCCGAATGCTCGCATAAGTTCCAATCCGTCCAGATGATTGTTGTCGTCAAAATCGTGCATTCTCAATAAGTAGAAAATCGATTCTTGCGGTGTGAAAACGCCGTCGTCTGCGAATTGGATCAAGTGCCTCAGATCCTCCTTGATATGGTCCATGTCTCGGACGAAACCACCGCCCGCATATTTCTTGCGTATCTCGTTCGCAACTTCAGGATTCGCTCTCTGAGACGCTGAGTTCTGTGTTGGTGGTTGCTGCGATGAGCTCGGTTGCGCTGTCAAACTGAGCAAGACAGTCAAATACACTGTGAACGACATAAAGCACGTCATGGTTGTAAGGCTTCCGAGCTGGCGGCTGATGATGAAAAGGTCAATGGGTGCAAGCGACAGGCCGACGGCGTCTTCGAAACAAAATTTTGGCGTCGGGAATCTGTCTTCACCTGTCGAAAAGCCGGTCAGCAGACCTCTACTATTGTCGAAGGAGCAGGCGACACAACGTAGGAATATGACGACAAAAACAATCTTAGAACGCGCATGCGTTGTTAGGGACTTATCCACACACGCGTGGCTGAGTGCACTCTCTTCGATGACAAGTTCGGTCATCAGGCATCATTGTGGTTGTTCCCAGCAGTTGATTTAAAAAAACTCGTAGCTCATTCTCTCGGTTCACTCCTGTCAATTGAATATCTCTCGAGATCTCTCAAGAGGAAAAGGGGTTGGGAGGAAATGGTTCTCGAGGCGGGGGGGGGGGGGGGGCGTAACAATCACTGTTGAGAGCTCCACGATTGTCAGATGTCGTTCCGATCGCTATCAGTAAGCCCTGCTGGTGATGCATTGAGCTCTTTGCCGGAGTTACTTGTGTATCCGCTCGTGGAGAAACATCTCTCAGGGATCTCAGGAAGGGCAAATGAGAAAATTGTCTGAGTCGATGCCCTCGATCCTGAGTCCAGCCTACTTTCTCTCGTACGGATGCGGATGATTTCAACCAGTTTTCTCAAATTGATAATTCTCCCGATTCTCTTCCAGAAGAGTTAGTACATTCAAATGACAAGAATGGGGATGACTCGAGCGATGCGAGAGGATTTTCAGCCTTAGGTTTGGGGTGAGTACTCTTTAGTGTCCCGGGAGATTCCTCAGTGACTTGATTAATACCCGATGACCGAATGCGGACACGACATGTCAATGAGACAATTTCCTCGGGAGCGCTCCCGATCGTCTCCAGTCCTCGCCTCACGCTTTCGGTCCTCTGGGTGTTTCGCGACTCCTCTCACGCTCTCGCGACCGAACCTGATGAAATCAACCTCCTCTGAGAGTCTCGCTTAAGATTCTGACTAGAGACAACCACGAGGGTCTCGACAGGCCCTCTCCGCACTGGTGATTGCTCTGAGGATGTTTGTAATCCACGGGAGGTTTTGGCGGTTTGTCTTGTCATGTCCCCGTAGAGACAATGCCGGGAACAGCGCGGATCGAGAATCGAGCCTCCTGATCTGCAAAACGAAGCGCGCTCCTTGGCTGGGATGGTTGATCAGTAGCGGGGGAAAACGAGAAATTCAACTAGGTCTCTAATTTTGTGTTTACAGTTCCTCATATAGCACCTTATCGAAGGTTCGTGAAGATGTCAACAATATATTCGCAGCCGCCACGTACGTCATCGAATACGAGACCGTTCTAGCTACTAGAAATTGCATGCTCTGCTTGCTGCTATGGCCACGGATTTCTCGCATCTCTTCCCCGGCTCATGAGCGGGTCGACTCCGCATCTGCACAAAATAAAACAGTTTCCTTTCCATTCGGATCAGCGCTGTGATCGCATCATAGGCTCGGCGATTTGATCCTTAGATTAATAACATCTTGTTCGCAAAGAATTCGCACAGGGTGCCCGAGGCCCGAGAGATCGGAATGATATGGAGAACAAGGGCTGTATGGATCTTCCGGAGACTATGCTTGCTTTGCCGTCTGTGACGAGGAATTATCTCGGTGGGGGAGTTTGTCATGTGGACACCGTCTCATCGATTCAGGAACTTTTTGCTTGCAGGAGGCACGGCGAGAAAATCACCAGTCTCCTCACCAAAGCAGATGATGATTGCTATCATATGAGACGACAACGTCGAGGAATCTGTGTAATTGTTAACCAGAAGGAATTCGAACCGCACACGCAATTGAACGAAAGACGCGGGACTGACGTAGACGCCGAAAATCTCAAGAAGACTTTCCAGGTGAGTGGAATTATCACCCCGGTTCCCCTTTCGTGAATGCTTGTGTCCTTGGTTTTCCCATCTCTATGAAGCCTCGAACAGCTCAAGCGGAAATCTCGATCAAACGACCCGAACGAATTTTGCAGGCACTCTCTTTCGAAGTTCACATGCAGAAAAATCTCACCGAAAAGCAACTCAGTCGTGAGCTGAAGCATTGGTCGCAGTACGATCACGCGGATTGCGATGCGTTTGTTTTCTGTCTTCTGTCTCATGGCGAGCGTGATCTCATATACCACACGAGCGGAAAAATAAGCACCGATCAAATCTTCGAACCCTTCACCGGTGAAAACTGCCGTTCTCTCCTGGGAAAACCGAAACTTTTCTTCATCCAAGCTTGCCGGGGCGATAATTTGGACAAAGGGGCTCTAGCCAGAGATCAGCCGGATTCTGTCAACGGAGACGTTTATCGACTACCGTCACACGCTGATTTCCTGATCGCCTACTCGACCGTGGCGGGCTTCTATTCGTGGAGGAACACTATCAATGGTGAGATTGCGCTCCCCGATGGTCTCGATTTCCGGCAGATGCTTCATCGAATGCTCCCTGAGGCTCCCAGAGCATCCGCGACTTCACTAAAATGGTCAAATCTCTCCTACAGGCTCCTGGTTCATCCAATCTCTGTGTGCGGTTCTCCAGGATCCTGACCTCGTGCGGAGGAATGACATCCTGTCGCTTATGACACTCGTCAACAAGCACGTCGCTTTCAAATTCGAGTCAAGCGTTCCCGGCAATTCCGAGATGGACAAACGCAAACAAATTCCCTGTGTGACTTACACTCTCACTAGGAAGCTCTTTCTGGCGCCGAAAATCACCGGAAGCCTTGTGTAGGGACGGTGCAGTGTAGGTTAACCCAGGGCACTCTTGGACTCTGTCGGCAGCACCGGAACCATTGCAGATGGTCTCGCGCGAAAATTCCGTGCGCCTGATCCATTCTCAATAGATTGTGTGTGGTCAACAGGTTTTCGGGAGACTGTGTTTGAGTTGTATCCTATGGTTTTCCCAAGTTTACAAAGGAAAACATGAGCTACAATCATTGTTCGCATCGATAGCAGAGAATTCAAGGGAATGATTGTTGGATGTGAGGCTACGATCCACCATATGACTAGAGTGAAGCACATACTTGACATACAAGCTCACCGAAGAGGAATGGACTACCCGTGTCGATTCTAAAAGAGGGCATGCCACACAAGGCGGGCATTCTTACGATTAGGGATTCCGAAGAAGAGTCACCACAGTTGACTGGCGAAGCCGAAAAAACTTTCGAAACATTTCCGTGAATGCTGCTCTGAATAGATAGGTTCGGTACTGAACTGAACGGATGATTCATGGGGCGCCGAGGCCTCTCAATCCTTATATTGTGCCGAGGATAGGAGCAGTGTGTTCTGCCGAAGGTTGTGACCGCGAGGGGCTCACCCGAAGACAGTGGCGTTCCTTCAACACTCAGCCATAAACTTAGGACCGAGTGTCGCCCAAGCTCAGGCATCAAGTTACTTACTTATTCCTGTGAGCGATTGTACCTTGCCATTTTTCTCGGAGCATCAGCTCGGCACATGGAACGCTGCTTTTCCATGCGAAGCATTCATCGAGAGAGCGTTATTTGCTCATTGTTCTGTTTCTCGCCTGAACGTTCGGACGCAACATCCGTCGATGCATCGATTGAGTTGAGTCAGAGCATTCTTCATCATGTCACAGCGAATGAGTTCTGTCGACTTAGGTATATAGTTTCTTTAAAGTTGACCTCTCTCCAAAAATATCGACGAATTATCATATCGTACTGAATAAAAGTATCGTGAAACTCAGCCACATGGTGTCTGCTCGCTGCCTGTTCTCTCCTATTCGGATTTCCACGCAAAGTCCGCGATAAGCACTTCCTCCTCCACCATAGCCGCCGTACAGGGACCGATGACGAATCGCGACACGTGACAGGGGACATAGGATCTGATGCCCTAGGTATCCTGTCCGAACAACAGATAGCGTCTGGGAATGGCGGATCCCATGCGACGATGAAGAATCACATCCAAAACAGCTCTTACGAGATCTTTATTCAGTCTCAAAGGTTGCTCAATCGAACTCCAGATTCCAGATAGACGGATGATGTGATTTTGCTGAGAGCTCTCGGTCTCTGCATGATGATTCTGATCAATCGGGATGAGCGTTACTCCGTCGGACGTCCGTCATCTCGCGCTACTCGGTAGTAAGCACCCGGAGAAGACTAGAAGCAGTTGTACGCGGCACAGGAGACTGTATGAGATGCGCGGAATCCTGATCAGACCACAGATGACGAGCAGTGAGCGAATCGATGGCCACATATTCGGGAGGAATGACGTGAATGAACAATCAACACTCGTCGACCGGAAACGACACGCGCAGCATTATTCTCAATTGGCTCAAAACAAGTCTATCGACTACCACCCTGTGTTGTTCTTTCTCTTCTCGCTTTGCTCCCCTGTATCCATTCCCCGTAATTCACGTAGCCATCGGCGTTGTTGTCGAACTTAAGGAACTCGTCGACAGCGACCGCGACCTTCTCTCCGCTGACATGACCTGCGTGGCTGATCAACGTGAGAATTTCGAGTCCGTCTAATTGATTGTTCTGATCGAAATCATGCATCCTGAGAGCGTAGAATATGGCTTCCTGCTCCGTCAAAGCGCCGGCACCTTCGAGACTTATCAGGTTCTTGAGATCTTCTTTGATGTGCTCATCGAGAATCAGCTTCTCCGCCGAATACTTGCGCTTGAATTCTTCAATCTGCTCCGGGGACATGGTCGTCGGCGCTCCCGTTGCATTGTTATCAGCCGACGTCAATTGGCTCACGACAGTCCAACACAGAAAAAACCGAATCAGCGCGAACATATCCAACTAGTACTCGCCGACTCAGGGAGAACTGAATCTGTTTGCGTGGAATTTCATGTGTGCGGAAAGGGAAGCAGACCGACGACGGGAGCAGACGGACATTTGCTGCAGCTGCCATTTGGCCGATTTTCGCTCGGAGCGACGAGAGGCTGCCTCTCTACAGGTCGATAAAGGCTCATGCGGGTGGAGGAGCGCGCCATCAAAAAAGCGTCGAACCGAGCGACCTAATCCGCCGGGACCTCCGCCAGGACTTGAATAATTGTTCCTCTCGAAATGCTTGCGGATCAGCTCGTCCGAGAGATTCACTAAGACCCCAATCATCGAGATATAGGTAATCGTATCTTTATTGGCCTGCTCCGTCGAGCCATAGTGAGTCGGAGACAAGCGGAACGTTCAACAACGAGTGTCGTTGTCCTTTATGTTGACGTTGTTGTCGCGGTTGCGATGACGGGAAACCTCGGAGTTGGAGAACGAGTACGTAGTGACCGCAAGAAAGAACATGCCCCGATCTACTCATTGCCCCGACGAATCCCGCCAAACTACTGGAAGGCACCCAAACGACGTAGACTCAATTCGAACCTCATGCGGGACCGTTCGTCCAGCATTGACTCGGACAGACTGGATTGCCATCGATTCCGCGGGCGATTTTCTCTTCATTGGATGATATTGACGCTTTTCCGTGGCTTGAGGAGCTTTGGACTTTGAAATTGAACGCTTTCACGGTCTGGAGAGAAGAACCGTCTCGAAAATGGCATTCACGCGCAGTCTATGTCAGCACAAGGAGGAGTTCCGGGAAATCTGCGGCTCATGAGCTGCTGTTCGTGACAAGTCGCAATGTAACCTGCAGGCTATTTCCCGTCGGGATCGAACGCCAGACCAAAGAGCGGATTTGTTTTAGATTGTGAATCCCCAGGATTCCAGTCGTGCTGCTCCTCCAATGATATACCCCGACTGTGACATGCGTTCTCGAATGGATGAAGCCGTACGTCAGGGTAGCAGGACCAGACGCTTCTGGAAAAGATTTGACAGAAAGTCCGCTAGGTGCCGTTGACAGCTCGAGCCACTCCAACGCCGTGCAACAATGACAGCAGTCTCAGTGGCTGTGCCACTCTCGGCCCGATTGGTCTCCATGAAATTACGCTTCGGACGCCAGAACCGAGTGGCAGTGACGAACATCGCAATGGCACTTTGTCAGGACCCTGTTTCTGTTCGCAAGCAGACAACAATGATGCAGCCGATATGCGGTGGTATTCGAGTCAGGAGGGAAAAACGTCACAATTTCAATCATGATCCTGAACACTGAAAACACACTGCGCTGTCATGACCATCTGAGTCGAGACTGCGTGGGGGACGAGAGTGCAGCGAGAAAGAAACTTAATTTCGGGAGTCGGGGCTGCATGCGAACTGAGTTACAGCACGAGGCAGAGCAGGGATCATACCGATGTTACACGATAGCTCGCGATTAATGCTCGCTGGAACCTTCATTGGGCAATGACGACTATTCTTTCGTTGCTCCGGGCATAACGATTCCTCGAAAATTTATCTTTCTTGCATCCTCCTCTTATCTCTTCTCGCTAGAGCTGAGGCCTCTCGAGTAGGGGGCTCCGCCATTCCGGGACAGAGCAAACCGTACACGGTCTCGGGCTGAGTGCGTAAGAAAAAGAAAGTTTGGGAAGTGCTGGGCTGAGTACATAGGTGGACGTGCCTACTGAATTTTACATTTGTCAGCCGCTAGCCAGGCTTGCTTGCGAATAACGCGTGGCTTTCCTCTGTAGTCAGTGACCTGGATGTCCTCGTCATGAAGGATGTGGCGGATTTTGAACGGACTGTAGCCTCCCTCCTCATCGGGAGCTCCCAAAAAGTTCAAGAACCGCAGAGTATTACAGCGATTGCCGTAAGCCCCACACATAAGGGTGGTGAGTTTGACCACCACGTTTGATCGCGCACTATTACAAGTTGAATACAGGGTGTTTGCGAAATTCTTGTCCAATCCATAGACGATTTCCTGAACGATGGGTCCCGGGGATCCGGGTTTGTCCTGTCGGGGGAAACCGGGAGTTTATTATTAGGCAGCAGGCCGGGCAAGAAGAATAGTGGAAATTGTTTGCTGTTCCGGAACCGCGAGATTCCGTGCATATTCATGACTCGCTAAAAAAACATTCTATCTCATGAAGCGCTTGTTTCCATCAGCGGGTTGGCGCCGGACCGCTTCGCGGAAAATATGCTCTACCGTGGTGGCGTTGACAACGATGAATTGGCCTTGAGTTGGTGAACACGTCATTTGACACATGAGGTTTTTGAAAGCTCGGTAGCAGCCCGGACACCGTTTCATGCCTATCGCTTCAGCGGCTTTCATTTCTTTCTTCAACGTTTCGAACTGACTGGCCTCGCAGCATAGTCGGCGATCTTGAAGGGAAGCCGCCAAATCCTCACAAAAATCCTGGTCCGGAGGAACGAATACGTTAGATTGATCGTCGCTTCTGGGAGTGCGTGTTCCCCGGATGACGCGGAAGTTCCGCCGAGCATAGGACGGTAGATTTCAAAATCATCTCGAAGTCATCTCGCCCGTCTCCAGGCGCAGACTCACAGTGAATTCTTTCCACAAACTATCGGACAAGGTCTCGGAAGGAGCTTCATCAACCGCGCAAGGCACGGATTTTCTGATGTCTCTGTTGAAGTGGCAACTTCCACGGAAGGCACAACTCTGCGCCCGCCCAACACTGGCAACGGCGGCTAAAACCAACAAAACTTCACAGGCGAGCACTCCTCTCGACATGACTGAAAGATCGTCTGATCGGAAGATTATCACAGACTTCTCTTGGTTTACAGTGCTCGCGAGGCTACGGAATTTCGGTTGCTCCTTGTTCCTAAGTGGCCAGTCGGGAGAGGGACAGGGAAAGAGCTCCCGTAACGTGCGCTTCACCGTCGCCCGTTAGAGCCGTCGCGACGCCGTGAGTAACAAAACGATCCCAAGCCCGACTATGAATCACGCATTAGCGAGTCGCGTCGTCGTCGTCGCTGTCTCCAGTTACCGGATAACCATGAGCTCTCCGTCGCTTGCGTCCTGGCCGGTTCCTGACAAACGCTTGAAAAAGTGCTTCTGGTCCAACGGCTGGGCCCTATCGAGTGCTGGACGTGATATCTCGGCTAATCTCGACATAATGAATCCTTTTAGTGTCAAGTGGTTCTCGAGCTCATCCGGTATGTCGCAATAAGCTCCGACGATCGAAGATTGCTCGAGGGTCGACGGACTCGGGAGAAGCAGTGCACTTTATTCCGGGGCCAGCCGGGAGGTCGGCTGCCTTTATTCGTCTCGGAACCTTGTTTCCTCCCCCGGAACTCGGTTCTTAGTCCCGACGACGCGTCGATAACCATCATCGGGGGCCCCAAAGACGCCGCGCCGTGGAGCTCCGCGCTTCTCGTTTCACCGCGGTAGCATAACTTGGATTCGGGCTCCAATTCTGATCTCTGAGTCTTACGTATGCTGATCGCCGTGTTTTCCTCTTCATGATCTTGTATTCGCCGTCTATGAGACTCGCGCTCGCGTATGGATACTCTGGGAATGTGGCCGCGTCAGAGTGTATAAGATACACAGCATGAAGAGCCTTGTTCATACTGCATGTGTGAGCATACGTTTTTCAGGTCGCGAATCTAGCAGCAGGCTGGGCATCGAGTTGCTCAGCCGGTCGGGATGCCTCGCTTGGAAGTGAACGAATGATTGGATGGGAATTACGTCGGTCTTGCATCCCCATGCAGGAGCGGAGGCGCAGATCCCCGTCGAGCTCGCACACCGGGACCGAGATTCCGAGTTCCAGGAAATCTCCGCCTCGTTTCTAAATCCTGGCGGACCACTGTTGGCCGTCGGATCATTGAGCGCTAACACCGATAGTGAGAGAATCCGCGGCGGAGAAACACCCGAACGGCGAGCGCAGTCGGAAACAATTTTGGGACATCAGAAACGTCTCTTTCCGTTTCGAATATTGGGGCGGTTACGCTCGCCGTTTATTTCCGGAGGATTTGACGCGTCATGCCTCTGAACAGAGCACGTCTCATTTGCGGACCCGGGACAGCCGATATCGGTTACTTCGCCTTCTGCGGGCGAATCCGTGAGCAGCAGAGCTCGCAGAACCCTTGTCTCCCATTCTTTCCAATTTCAGAATTTGAAGGGCGTCGCAGGAGCGTAGATCACAGAAAACGCAGACGTCGAATTCCCACGGAAAATGTCAAGAGCAAGGAAGCTCTGCTGCAGAGAGCTTAGAGACAAAGCTCTGCGGAGAATCAAGCGGAGGATAGTGATGTGATACCAGGACACGAATATCAAGAGATTGAGTATACCGACGATTCAGAAGAGGCCTAACGGGTCTCACATTCCGCATGCTCGAGGAAAACGAGAAGGAAGCGGCTCCGAACGATTGATTTACCGCCTACTTTATATGATACATATTGGTTGTCGTCTAGAGGGGGATCCCGCATATAAGCAATCGAGACTTTGACGACTACGACAGCGGTTCCGAGTCGAGCCGCAGGAGCGACTCCTCTCTGGTTGCCTCGGGGGTCGTCTCAAACTTTCTCTCCGTACATCTCCCTATTCCCTCAACGTTGCGGTTCTGCGAAGAGAGCCAGGCTCTTCTGCAACGTCGAGAGTCGGTACCGGAGCTCGGCTGGCCCCGGGTAGCCCTGGTAGGTACATGCTAGAGGGGAATGGTGATCTAGGGCTTTCCGGAACGCGCACCGCCCCCGGAGGCGCAAGCCAGGCGGCGGAGGAATCGATCCGAAACAGAACGAATATGCCGGAATCAGCACAAGATCCTCCACAGGATCTTGATCTTAAATCGCAGCTTCATACATCGACTCGGTATGTCTAACGCCGGAAGTAGCACTCGGATTGGGGTAGGTGGTCCGTGGAACATTGGGCTGTAGCCGGGCTATTCTATGGCGCTCCCTGATTTTTTTTCAGAACCAATGGCATGACGTCATTTTTCCTAGGAAGCGGCAAGGCTAGGTGTGTACGTGACGGCTGTGAAATCGGTGCGCGAGGTGACCGTCACGTCGGTCGAAACAATTATCTGCATATCCGTAGAATATACAGTAAAAGCTCGTTATAAGGACCCCCATTACAACGAATTCCTCGGTACAACGAAGGTTTTTCTCGAAGAGTTTCTCCCCCTTTGGCCAGCTCGCCATAGTGATAGTGTTGAGCGGCATTCGTTACAGCGAAAACTCGGTACAGAAAATTCAGTATCAGAAAATTGGCTTCAGATTTTTCCAGAATTCGATGGGGATTCACAACTTCGAGCCTCTATTTCACTTCATCCAGATTTTTCCACTCCAATATCCGGATCAATCGGCTATCAGGAAGTGCCGAATCTACCCACCCGGAGGACGCGCGCCCGGCGTGCCCAACGCGGGTGTCCTGTTGGGGGACTGCATGGATGTGGAAGGCCCGGTACGTGCGCAAACCCAACAAGCTCGTCTAATTATCCTGCAGATCGAAAATTCCACTGATCCGATCGAGCCTTCAGGGACGTCCGAGTGGCGTTGGAAGGTAATGGCTACGTTTTCGGATGCCGCTCCGCTTCTATGATCGGGGAGCGAGCGACGGCATCCACTCAGATATGGGAACGGGATTGTGATCGGGGATGTTTACCCTTGTAGTCAGGATCTATGCTCATCCTGATTACTCTCCGATTGCGGCTCATTGGACAACAACATTATCTGAATAACGACCACGATTCGATTCGAATAGAGGTGTTGTTTTCGACGTACTCATTGAGCCGAACAGGCTCACGCCGACGCTTCCTGATCTTCTTTCCATCGACCCTGCTGCGTGACTCAGTTCCTTCGACGTTCGAAGACTTTCAGCAGCCGATTACATCCCAACGCTCCTCCGAACTCGGGCGCCGGTCCCGATCCCAAGGAACCGGAATTACCGAACGAGTCTCCCGCGCTATCAGAATCTCAGCTCTTCGCTGATCGAACCAAGCAACTATTTGTGAGCGATTCCCACCGCTCGAGAGATTGTTGAACAGAGTAAACTCTCCCTTCTACCTCCACCCATGTCGTTGGCTGTCCGCAGGGGCGGCAGTAGCGCTCAGAGTTCTCGAGATTTCCTCACGCGGACTGCAGACGGAGATCAAAGCTCTTGTGAGAATGCTTTGCTGAGCCGCCGAGCGGTCTGGGATCGACCGTCCTCGAAGACAAGGTAGCGGATTTTTCATCTTTCTTTCCATTCGAACTTGTGTTTGCGCTGATGTGGGAGGAGCGGGGGAGATGGTGAAGCAGGGAATTCAAAAGAACTTCTGAGGTTTCTGCGAATGACGGACGACAATGTGCCCGGACAACGAACGTTCTTCGAGAGACAGTAGAAGGGTCGAATTTCCGCCGAGCAGAGGTCGAGAGGATGTTCCTCGAAATCTCCAGTATTCTAAACGGATCTTTAATCCTAAGCATCCAATCTAATGGTTCCCATCTCGTCCCAGATCAGAGGTTCGGTTGACCCTTCGGAGCGGCATAATTAGGTCGAATTCAAATCCCGTTATCGGAGGTCTTTGACGAACTATTCTTCTTTGACGAACACGGATCTCCATTGATCTCTTCAGGGTCAACGATGCGCACGGAACGAATATCCCGAACATTTAGGAACTCGCGGGCTCTTCCTTGACGGAATGAACGTATCGAGAAGACAGTGTGTCTATTCTCGGCCGTGGGACGAGGACACCGAGGGAACCTTGTCAGTACTCACGCTGCATTACCCGCCTACTGTTCTCCGTAGTGCCGATCGACGCTCCCGTACATCCAAGTCTCACCAGAAATCGGGACTTGGGATCGTATGCCGCTTCGTCCATGAACAGCACAGATAATCAAGTCTCGAATCAAAGCAAGCGAGCCGAGATTAGCTTGTAGGGGCAGATGGAGTTCGCCCTCGATTCCCGAGTCAGTCTCGTGAAAACGACGACCGACGCCTGTGATCGTCGTTATAACTCTACACCGCCCAATGGGGTTCCTAAAGGATAAGGAATCACGGGAGCGAAGCTTGCGTTGGAGGAGTATCCCCAGGACACCAAAGGCTGATTCTAACTCAAAAGCGTCGACACGATCGCGCTTTTTCCCTCACGATGTTTGCACAGTCGGGCGGCCGATGTGTTCTCCTGCTGCTACAGAGCGTTCGGGGAAATTAACATTGAATAACCGCAGGAACTTCCAATACCACCGTAGCTTTCCTCTCCCTCGACCACCGCCGACACGGCTGCCGCCGATATCACCGACCGCTGCCAACGCCATCAAGCACAAGAGTAGAGACTACTGCCTCGAAGAGCTATCTCCGATTATTCGGTCGTGCACGTGACGTTCGCCCGACGCGTATTCATCTCACGACCGAGATGAACACAAAGTCGAGCTACTTTTCTAACCGATGACTTGATTATTAGTGAGATCATCGATATCTGTATTCCCTTGATTCGAGAGAATAATCACTCTCTTCTCGGAAATTATTCACTCTCTACCAATTGTGATCGGAATGCCTTCCTCATCCGGGGAGACTCATGGGTGAACGACCTCACGGTATGAATACAATGTGTATCGTGGTAGTATCACGGGAAGATCAGAGACGCCGATTGAGCTGTAACTAGCGAGAAAAATGGGGTCGTCAACTCAAGGTAATCGCCGACTGTGATCGTGCTTCCGTGTCGCACAGCCTTCCGGCGGATTGAAAAAAACAGTGGCAGGTAGTATCTTCGACACTACCGTTCGGGGTGGAAACGTCAGATTCATTCGGTGTTGTTCGGCTTATAACCACTGAATAATGTTTTGAGCTTGAAATGATTCATTCCTAATCACGATAAAAATGAGTGAAGGGTGGATTGAGATTCCATTCTGGCTTCGGGGTCCGTCTTGACTCAACTAGACGGGTTCAATACTTCATATGATATATGGTAGTCGCGGTGAAATTTTTCTCTCGCACACAGGATCCGAATCGGGCAACTCCGTGGGCTCCGGTGGGTATGTATATCCATTGATTCTACTGAGATTGGGTGTTTTCTTATTCCTACAAATTTTGTAGCAATTGTGGCAGAGTCTGAAACTGACGGCATCTTCGTCCGGGAAATATGGTGCCAAATCATGTGCCATCTGAGAGGTGATCGGCTTCAAGTCCCGTACAAACCAGATGCGATCGCAAACATCGCACTTGTATCCAAATTCATTATCGGAAAACATGCGACGGAACTGAACAGTGACACGTTCCCATAATTGAGTTTATGTGAAACATCGTGTCAGCTCAACTTCACCGTCATGAGAATCGTCTCGACTTGGCTCGTCAATCGATGCTGAAATGTCATTTGATTCCTTGACCTCCCTGCGGGCATCGTCAGCTCCAGTGACACAAGACACGACCGATGAAGTCTCTCGGCGACGCTTCCGATATTCAGCTGATCTCTCAGCAGAAGTTTTCTTTCTTTTCACTGCCCTGCCCGCTGGAGCTTCCACTCGCCGTATGTTCTGCATCATACTGGTGGTTTTTGGCCGCATCATGGGAGATTCACAATCTCAAATGATCAATGCCGATGACCAATGAAGAACGTAATGAACTCGACGGATTCCTCCCATATTAACGAAGAACCCTTGAGTAGCACTAGGTTTACATATATCCCGACCAAACACTCAATTTTGGAATTATGATTCAGAATCTAGACGTTCGGAATTGAGCGTTCAGTTGACACCCCTATTATTCCCAGTCATCTCGAGCTCAACTCTTCTCACGAATTTCAAGATGATTCGCGCCATCTTTACGAATTTCACCACCTCGCACTCCTCCGCTACAGACAGGTGTACTCCCATGGACCACCGATTCTCGTGGCATGGCCCACAGCCTGAAGGGAAAACGATAGTAACGCTGACTAAAGGAGAGAGGGGAACAAGTCGGCCCCCATTGCGAAATGTCTTATGTTTCGCCTCCCAGAGGGGTGCATGAGACGCCTTCGGAAAGTGTCTCAGAAGTCGCGATTCGATACCAAAATAGAATGGTAGTTTATGCCGTATATTCGCCTTCACAGGAAACCAGCTACAAAGTTTCACATCCCAGGTTTTCGAGATCTAAGGCAGATGAAAGTTACAATATTTGTGACGCAAAGGACGAAGTACCCTCGATCTGTACGGTTGATGAAATTAAAGACGTCGTCACGTCAGAAGCGGAATCTGCGTGGACGAGGTGCCTAAATGAGTGAGAGAAGCGAGAGTTCCCTTCAACCCCGATCCTCGCGACGTGGACGCTCGAGCCTATAGAGGGACTTTATTTTATTTTACAACAACTACTATAATACGATTCCAAAATTTACTAGCATACGATTTCATCCTTTGACATTATAAAGTTTGAGCTTCCAACATTGTGTGACTTGAGCTTCCAACATTATACGATGCGAACAATATAACATACCACTGTGGAAATTTTCCGATACAGACAATGTATCGAGTAATTAAGTGATTAAGCCATGACCAATGCCTCGGACAATAGAAAAAGCCCTCAGGGAGATCGCCAGATGGACTTAGTGGCATTCCCTCATCTGGCAGACTCTTGCTCTCGATCACCCTCCTCACAGCATGTTTCCCCCTCTGGTAGAGATTGTTCACGTATGGCATCCAGGTTCTGAACATTTTGGCTGCCAGCGGCACATCGGTGGTCTCCGAGTATTTAAGGAACTCGGTTGCATTGCCGCATTGCTTTAGACCCCGGATCAGAATCCCGCGCTCATACTCATCGGTGGCTCTCTCAAATTGTTCAATGCCCGCTTGGATTTCGGCGGCGCATGGCGGGGGAGCCGCGGCTGTTGGGGGCCGTACCTCGGCGGCGACGGCGGTAGGTGTGGCGGCGGCGACGGCGGTAGGTGTGGCGGCCGCGACATCGGCTGCGCTAGGAGCGGCGGTAGGACCCGGAATAACAGGATTAAATGCAATAGATGCGGCATATGTCGGCGGTGGCGCCCGAATGAGATTAGGGACATTCAATACCACCGAACGGTAGGCTGCAGGCGGGGAGCGGATGAGAGAGAGATTGGATTGAGATGCTGAGATTCTTCTTCCACTCGACTCGACGATAACCGGTCGTGTTACCTGCGGTTGCGACAGCGGAATCCTTTGCGATGCGCCAGCGGAGATTTGCTCGGTTCCGTGCGGCTGAGAGACGCTTCATTTCCGGATTCTGGAAACGTCTCAAGATCTGATCCGTAGATGATACCGCCCACAATTTTAGAAAATCGCGAGATAATGATGACTCGAGACGAGCGATGAGCGACGAACTGAGGAAGCTCTGTCGTCACCGAGAACACCCGTACTTTCGATATCAGCGCTCTTCCGACTTGAGATGCATTCCGCTCGAGATTCGTCTGTATCCAGGGAGTAGGATCGGCCTATGGTTCACAAGGGCCGTCTCTTGTCCCCGAGGCGTCTTCGAGCTCTTATAAAATAATTCACCCGGCAGCGTGGCGCTCGGAAATAGCAGGAGCAGGCCTCAGAATAAATATGCTCTGGAAGACCATGGGGAGTTTTTATGTTACAGCGGGAGGCGAGCTCGTCGTCTGGGTGTGAGACTTGAAGCCCGCTCGGTCGCTCGCTCGCTTACATTGATTCCCAGAGAAGTTTGCGGATACGTGAGATTGAGCTCAAGGTCTCCCAAGGAACGGGGTAGCGCTTCGCTGAAAGCTATCTCGAGATAAAAACTCAAAGTCGACCTGTCTGATGAAGAAGGAAAACGTACGAACTTGTTGGCTCGGTAGAGCCCACCACCGAGCGACTTCGAAAAAAAACTTGACGAATCCTTAGTCCGGTCCAGAGCTCCCGAACCTTGGGAGGAATTCGTCACGAACTCACCGAAACTGCCCGATCCGGTGATAAACGCATCATCGACATGTTTTTCTCATCCAGACTTCTGGGATGTTTCATCTGGAAGCTTGCAACACGATCAGTCCGGGAGCGACGCCGTTCATGGGCAGGTGGTTCACAAAGCTTCGTGATGTTCTCCCGACGACAAGTTACTCTTGAGAGCTTTGTTGATTCGGAGAGAGTCGAGTCGGGGAGGTTCGGAGTCACTGAAAGCAAAGCAAAAAACTCAGGAATTGTCAGGGTTTATCTCCGGGAGTGGAAAGGGGGAACGAAGGTACATCGAAGGATAAACCCGACGACGAGGAGTGAGCGAGAAACTTGAACGTGGGGAGATCAATTTTTAGACGAAGAATGCACAGGAAATCCATGTGGTGCGATTTTTCCTCACAGGACGTCGAGACTTCAAGGGGAAGGCTTCTCCAGCATTGTTCACCATGTCTCGTATCCTTTCAGTGACTCTATCTGCTTTCCGCCACGACGCTCCACAGCCCTCCCTAAGGCGTTTCCGTTGTCTAGGTGAACCGTTTCGGGGTGGCAGTCCCGGATCTAGTCAGTAGAGTAGACCACGTTACGGGGAAACCCCCAGAACGCTCACAGGAAGAGTGGGGTAGGTGCTCGGTGTAACAAAAAAATACGCCCCCCACAAGGATCTCTGCTGGTGGATATACCGGGGATGTAAAAGAGAGTCGGAGACGCCACGAATAAGAGCGAGCGGAACTTATATGAGCGAGTCTTGTTTCTTCTAGGGCAGGTGTAGTTGCTCCCGTGCGGCTCGATTAGCTAGCGCTAGCGAGGGATCTGCGAGGTTGGTAGGGAGCACTCGTCGGAGGGCACGAAAACCACGCGCTTTTACTCGTTCAATCCCGATTCTCGCACGGAGTGCGACCCGGCGAGAGGGGGAGGAGCGGCCGGTACACAGCAACTCGTCTGCCGTGAATGGGTGAGTCGATATAAATGGGTTCGCCCACATGCAGCAGTGCGTGCTCCGTTTGCCAAGAATCGGTCACACTTGAAGACGCCCGCGGGACACCTTCGCGACAGCGCAATCACGCGAGCGGTCTAACAAACAAAAGAGACAGGAAAACGAGAAACTAGAGGGCGAGCATTGTACCCATGCCGGCGCCGCGCCGCCGTACCGCTCAGCAGACCACTCGGGTGCAACAGTCATATCATCAGGAGATGCCTCGCACCTCTAATGAAAGTTCCTCATCACGGCCAGCTTTGTTCCGAGCATAACGAAGGCAGCATTTTCCCCTTTCGACTGCAGCCCAGCTCACTCACTCAGCAGAAGAGTACACTTCCATTCTGATGACCGCTCGTCGTCGGCTTTCTCGTGATGAAAGCAAGTCTCTCCAAAGGCGACCTAAGACCTCCGGAACGCCGCTCCAGCCCAAGTTCTACGACATACGATTTCAGACGCGTAGTTGTTCCCGGATTTTCTTCGTTCCCTCTGAGCTTCAAGAGGTTCACCCAAGAGCTTCCTGCCGAGCTCCGTTCGGAAAGAGAGAATATGCGTGTGCGTGTACATCGCATAGCATTGTATCGAGACTTGCATAGGGAGCGTCTTCATCAATCATCTTCCAGGGGCTCCGCTGCGCTCGATCGAGACCGAGAAATCGCACACCGCGTGATGTGGAATGCAAACGAGGAAGGTATTGAATTTCTGGTGGGAGTAGCTCTCCCACGCGGAGGTTTTGCGGCCGACGTCGTCCTATATTTTCGAACGCGGTAGATACGCGAGCGAGGGCGGCGGTGTTCGATTCATGACTCTCGACGCACTCATGCCGCACAGATCTAGCTATGTATTTCACTCCGCGGAATTTCTGCATTGGGAATTGAATCCCTCGAATGGTGGGTACACACAGTCGAAAAATCATACGCGCACCTCACACGGATGAACCCATAGAAAGAACACGCATAATCTTGCGTCTCCGGTGTGGAATCCCCCCTAACAGAAAGATCAGAGAGGCGGTCTGTCACTGAACCGAAATTCTCCTCCGTTGCTGAGACGTCAAACCATTCTCAATCGATGCGGTGTCACTCAGCTGAGGTGGAAATATAGTTTTCGCGGTGTTGACGAGTATGTTCTCCGTGTGTTACTCTAGTAATCGGTATCCATCAGCAATCGTGTACCTTTCCACCCTATCTCCCCCCTCGTGGGATGTCAGCAATACTATTCACTACAGCCCACTTTATCGCCAGGATGCATGGTATCGAATAGGAGAGAGAGGTTGGAGAACTCGAAAGAGCGGGGAGGGATAGCGAGGGAGAGAGAATGAGGGATATGGGAATTTTAGATCAGGGAACTTAGGAGCGGGAAAACGGTAAGTACAGGGAATAGCGGGATTTGGAAAACGAGGAACGACGATTCCTCGCGTTGATTGAAATCATCGGAGTCGTCTGTGTCCTCACATTCTCCCACGGGGAGACACACTGATCCAGATTGGGTCACATGATGACCGATTTTTCTCAGCAGATGGAAGGATCACAACGAAGTTGAATGGCTCTTGCAGTGGATCTCGATGGAATTTTACGCAGGCTACTTGAACTCCGGGCCCCTCAGGGGAAACTCAAAGACTTCCGCTTCACAGCTCAAGAGTGTACTTATGTCGCCGATAAGGCGCGTGCAATTTTCGCGAGCGAGCCTATCATGGCCGATCTCGAGCCCCCGCTGACCATCTGCGGCGACATACACGGACAATTTCGCGATTTGCTGCGCATCATCGCCGAGGACAGAATGCCCCCATACAGGAACTATTTGTTCCTCGGTGACTACGTGGACCGAGGTCAACAGTCGCTGGAAGTTCTACTCTTCCTTTACGTCTTGAAGATCAAGTACCCAGCTAATATGTTCCTCTTGCGTGGCAATCACGAATCGATCAGGCTTAACTCGGCCTATGGTTTCCTAAGTGAGTGCCAGGCCCGTTCAACAACCGAAGTGTTCCGAAAATTCAACGACTCTTTCGCTTACATGCCCCTGGTCGCGATCGTCGGACGGAAAATGTTCTGCTGTCACGGAGGAATCCCAAAAGGCCTTTTAAACCTCAGCCAGATCCGAAAAATCAAGAGACCGCTCACGGAAATAGCGGACGATAGCATCGAATGCGATCTCCTCTGGGCCGATCCTGGTAAAACAGATGGCTGGACAGAGAACGAACGGGGGGTGTCTTGGTGTTTTGGGGAAAAACAGCTGAATGATTTTCTGGACAAATTCGGTTTCGACGTTCTTGTACGTGGGCACGAGGTCGTTCGCAACGGCTACGAGTTTTTCGGAAATCGTCGCTGCGTGACCTTGTTTTCAGCCGCCAATTACTGTAACGAGTTTCCTAATTCAATAGGAATCATGCACGTCGGAAAAGATCTCTTGTGCTCATTCTCGGTTCTCAAGCCTCATAGAGTACCTCCGGGACCGGATCCTTTTAGGAAACCACGGAGCAAGAAAAACCTGTGAATTTAGGCCTCGGACCAATCAGGGAAAGAATTGTTGTTCTATCTGCGATTGATTTCTTTCTCACTCCGATGAGCGTTGATGGAGGACCCGGGTGGGCCGACCCAGCGTTCCGTGTGTCCCGCGGTGGAGCTCGCGACCTATTACATCCAATATATCCGTGGGATAGCTCCTCCGGGACGGCATCTGAATCTTCGGGTTCGTCTTTCTGTTTTAACTCGATTGAAATTGAACGTCATCGGACTGGATTCTCAGCAGCATGCGTTTCTCTGGAAAACGCAATTCCTGTGGGAAACGATTCCTCCAGCCTTGCTGGCCGATGGATTCCCCTTTCCCCGGCTCGGAGCTCTTTCTCTGTCATTATTTCGATCTAACATGAATCGCCCTCACATGGATTGGAAAACAGAGCATACACCGGAATACCCGTCCCACCATTCATGACGATTCACTCTCCTGCGTTCCCCTCGTCTGGGGCGGAATTCGCATCGAGACGAGAATCGAACGTCCTGCTTCTGCCAAGATTTGAACGTTCTGCCGATGGGAATTACGAATCACTCTGGGAGACTCGATGTGAACATCAAGAAGTTTCGCATGCTATCCGTTCCGTCGCAAACGATCCGAGCAAGTCCCCGCTGGTGAAACTGGAATAACCCCGTCCGACTGCACTTTTTTCCTCACGATGATTCGCTTAGAGAGCGTCGTTCCTAATTTCGGGTGATTCGCGGTAGCGATCCCGGTTATTGGATTGAACGAGGAGGATGTTGAATGTAGAACACGTTTGAAATTCAAACGAGGCACAGCTTCGAAGCTTTCCTTTCGTGAACTTTCGCCGCCATTGTGTCCGATCGAGTACAGATAGAACAGATTGACATTCCGCTCTTTGTCGATCCGGCCGGGGAGCTTTCCAGTCGGGCAGGTGTCTCCCGCTGACTGCCTGTCCGCCCGGTGACGGATGAGCGATCCAGTCAGCAGAGGAGAGCTCTCCAGGCAACGCTAGGAACGATCGGGGTAGATTCGAGGAGGCAACCAGACCATTCGAGCTGATATCGAGCTTTCCGGTCTCCCAACAGTCAGACGAGATGTCGGCTCATGAAATTTTTCGTGGGAGATGATGTCGCATGTTCAGAATTCACGTATTACTCTAAACGGGGGTGAGGATTTCCCGCTGGCGTTGAGGATCCGAGGATCGATGTTATACATTTCTGATAGAACGACGCGTCGATCGAGAGAGCGGACACGGACATCGAGGCTCGTGAGATCTGCCGGCATTCTGCACTCAGAATAACATGCGGTGAAAAAATTGTTCCAAAAGGGACTCCGTCGTCCAAGACTATACGGAAGGTGTGTTGCGTCGGTGGTATAGTGGTGAGCTGTTCGATTCCCGGCCGACGCAGATGTTTTCACCTCCTAATGAAGTCCAAACTTTTTTCTTTCGAATCAATCGGTACCTTAGCGGAACGATAGCTCTCCGGCTCCATTCACCTCGTGCGACTAAAATTATCGCAAAACTCGATCAGGATCAGCTGAATTCCGGAGCGACTCGCTTGAACAAGCATTTTCCTCGGACGCACTCTCACCGATTCAGCACCGAAAGAACTCCATGCGTTTTCTCCGGAGAGCCGGCCGACAGAGGAATTCCCTACAAACTCCGGAAGAGTGATCGCTCCCGACTAATAGTGGAAATTTCGGACTCCACAGGGGCTACTGTTGCCGTCGACACGCCGCCACCGTTGCTAATGAGACAGGAGTAATTCCCTCGAATTCGGACTCCACCATTGCGCCGGACAGCGGACGTCGTCGAACGTACGAGAGCAGGCGAGCGGGAAGACTCATTGGTATCAGGGGAGTTTCACAGCCTCCGCCACCGAAGCGTTTTAATTGTCGTGTTCACAATCGTTCCGCTCCCCTCGAGTTGATAGTCCGACGTATTCCTCCTGTAGATGCCTGATGTTCCTGTCGTATAGAATTCTACCACACCACCAGGGACACCCGCGAACGAAGAAATTCACGTCGGGTCCTGGCTGAAGTTTGTCTGAAGGGTTCTCACCTCATAAATACGTTGGGGGGCTCGGACTCCATTCCGGATGCGAACGGGAGCTCGCTCGCTGAGCGTGTGGAGTTTCCGCCTAAACGTCTCCGAGAGCTCCTACGCAGTCTAATAAGTCTATGTTTACACGACGAATGAACACATCACCGAGCGAGCAAATATACGTGTCAGTCCGCTGAAGCTGTTTGCTGCTCGCAAACAAGCTACACGATAAGGACGATTTTCGCTCCTGCTGGGGGCATCATTGATAGCAATAAATAGGATAATCAAATGCTCGATCGAGCCGTGGAACAATTGGACAGCATCGCCGGATTGCGTTGAGCCGATATCCTGACGGGAACTCCGCCACCGATGGAATGCCGCGGAACATACCTCGACGAGTCGGAAGAACGCAGCAGCGTTTTGCTGGCACAGCTTTCCAATTAGCGATGGTTTCGGGTTTCTTTGAGTTTCATAACGCACGCCAAGTCCCAAAAGCCACAACGAAGTTTCCTCGTCGTATCGGGGCAGTGTAACTCGGAACCGCAAGTTCATCAGACCGACAGCTTCGTAACAATGCGGCTTGCTAGACGACATGCGCGGACGCATCCGGGATTCTCGTCAGTCGTATCTTGACGAGCATTGTTGGAAATTCATGGCGGAGCGATGTAAATCAATAAAAATACTCGATTTTCACCCATCCAATTTTGCAAGGCTGAACGCGATTTCCCAGAAAGCGGATAAAGCCGAGTCCAATCGAAGTCTTGTCGCGGTGGCTCACGAGGGTGGCTGACAAGTATTCCGCTGGTCGAAAGGTAGTGTAATCTGAGGCTAGCACGGGGGTAGAAAAAGCTCCGGGATGGGTCGATACCGAATACTTTTGTTCTGTTACAGCCCCGGATATGCCACGCAGGCCTTTGATGTTGTCAATATGCCTTGAGGCTAAGAGCAAAAAGTAGACACGATGGAAAAAAAGCCTTGCCTCTTCTTTGTTGCCATATTGGATTTTTTGTGATGCCGAGGTCGTCGTCTGTTGAATTTGAAACCGGAGCTTTCGACTCGCCCATCAATTTCTTCATACGAGCTCGATCGAAGTTTAGCAAGCACTCAAACTGAGTCGCATCCTCCTCTTCGCCCCTTTGTCGGCGGGAAGGATTTCCTTCATCCGTCAGCGGCGCCCCGCTGACTGGCGAACGGCGGCCAGGTATCAGGCGTCGAGTGTCAATAGCTTCCTTGGTGCGAGATTCAGGTGCAGCACGCGGAGCATAGTAAATTCTGATTGATCGCGCCCACATGGAGGGAATGAGAGTGGGACATTGATTGCTGTTTTTTGAGCGAATGTTCGGCCCGTGCCGTGATAGCGTAGTCTTTACGCGAAAAAAACGCAGTCGAAATCGGATACCGTATCCAGGTTTCTTTTCGAGGTTTGAACTCCGGGTCAAACGAAGAGTAGCGAGCGAAATTCAGCTCGGGCTTACAAATGACCTACAAATGACATCCAAGACCGAGTCGATGTCTGTTGGACTGAATAATCATCTTTTAGGTCGCGGACGGAGAGTACAGGAAGGTCATTCCACACAAGCGATTCGGTCCAGGAGCGTAGAAGAACATTTGCTGTACAGAGAGTGAGGAAAGCAATTGGACGGTCCGATCGATTCCCGATTTGTATCGAAGACTTGGAGGAACTAATTTACAACGATATTAAAACTATCGGTGTCACGCAGCGGCCGGCGGACTGGCTGGCGAGTAATGACGGGCGGTCATCCAGCCAGTCGGTCGACCCCTTCATGTGCCGGCTCTCTCTCCGTCTGTCGGTCTGTCCATCGATCCGACTGACTGAGTTTCAGTCGGTACGTACCTTCTTTGCATCTCAGGTGGAATTAGGCCTTCACCCTTCACATTGTGGGCTTTCCAGCTCGAGCCTACTTCGATGACGTCCGCTAGAACCAACTTCGGCGAAGCTTCTTCACCGTGGCGGTACCCTCTGAGTCACCCGCATTGAGGCTGGTCGTCGGACTTGTTTCTGAGAGATTTGAACGGGAGAATCAAATGGTATCATTCGAAAACTGGAATCATTAACTCATTCAGCCCCGGCTCCGTAATATCGCCATATGTTTTCTGCGGAGTCTGATTATATCCGGTTTCGCGAACATAGCCGCGTTCGTCCATGAGAACACCTGTTCTGCTTTACTGAAACCGCAGCGGGTTCCCGCGCGTTGACATTTTTCCTCCTTCTAGAAGCCCGCCTCGGTGTCCCAGGTCGTGCATTTCGTCGGTCGCTGAAAGGAAGCAAGAGATATTTTCGGATTTGCAGAGAGTTGCTACTGCGTTCCCGGTCGTCGGTACAGGTCTTGGAGAACCCGTGTAACGAGCGTCTACGGCGCCGGTAGCGGTTCGCGAAGGGTCCGCCCGGTCGCGCGCCGGCTGGTTCAGCTTGGAACAATGAAGGTTTCGAATCAGAGTCTCGGAAAGAGGATATCCTCGATCTTGGAAAATCCCTTGAATTATTAGGGTCCTCGATAAGAATTCCTCGCGGAGGAAGTCTCGCGCTCTTCCGGTACGGAACGAACTGGGTCATAGAAATACGTGTCTTCGGGAGTTGACGTTCGCTAATTCAAGAAGGAGATCTCTCAGACATGTGACGGAATGATCCCCTCGACGGATCCCCGGAGCAGATTTTCACGTGACGTCTGTCAGAACATTTCATCATGGCGGAACTGAAGGTGACTGAACAGGGTTCCTCGAGGTCGATTAGAGCGAGTTAGAACAGAGTAGTTAGCCTGCTGTTCAACAGGCAATGCCTCTCGCATTCGAAAAATTAATTTTCGACGCGATCCTTGTTTCGACTGGACGTACCAGCGTCAAAAAAGCTCCACCCGAGCTAATGATTGGAATTGGAGAGATTTCTGGTGAGCCTTCGGCACCCGATTCGAAGAGAGAATCCTCTGCATACCTACCTCCGCTTCTATCGCAGCAT